GTGGCTTTCTTTCTTCACAATTATGAGGAGCTTGCAATAGTGTTGTGACTGCATTTAATATCATTCTACATATTAGGAGAGAGGCAGTGGAGAATGACAGCGGGTGGGAGGGAAGTGGCTTTGTTCCCCAACAACTATTGTTAGCTTTGATCTACCCCCAACTGCAGCAAAGAGGACATAACCTCCACCTAAAAACTAGGGGACATCTATTCCTAAGTAAAAATGTGGACAGGGAAGCATGACGTTCTTATTCAACCTTTGATCGGAGGTCTCCAAACATACGTGTTTGCCATGTGTGAGCAAATAAGCTAAAAACACTAAAGGTCTGATGTGGAAAAACCAAAGGGCACCAGCAAGATCCAAGCATAGTTAAAGTGAATAATGGTCGATGAGTTTGCTTTTTGGTGACAAAAATCAAATGATTCTCTGGATTTCTACTTTCAGTGGTATTCTATCTCTGACTCCACTGGGGCTTGGATAGTGTGGACTCTTTTAAGGCAGTCCACATTCAAAAGATAAGTTCATCTTGGTCTCTGCGCCCCAGTGCCAGTAGGTGCAGGAAGCATGTCTAGAGGACAGTTAGCCCACTGACCAGTGTAAGGCCTGCCACCGATAGTGATCATGGAGCACCCTGCTTGTGGAAATCTTGTGAGTGGGTCTCTGGGCATGGCCATCTCTAGGTTTTCTGCTCCCTTGGCACCAGGAGAGAGATTCATGTTAAATTCATGTACTTAGGTTCAGAGGGCATGAGGCTGACCTAGAGCTAGGGCTCCTGAATTCAGAAGGGAACTCGTTTTTGTCTCTGACCACCAATTACTCATTTCAAAAGCCACACAATTCATTCAATAAACATTTTCTAAGCAAGTACCATAATCCAGCACCAGAAAAAAAAAAAATGAACCTGATAATTGTGTCTTCAGAGAATATAGAGTCACTTAAGGGAAACAGACAGACACATTTTTTTAAATTATGATATAGTGTAAAATATGCCACATCAGAAATAGGCAGCAGGTATAGTACTAGACAAAGCAGGAAACGGGTTGGCCAGAAAAGGCATCACAGAATTAATAGCAATAGGTACCATGGAGTGTATTCTAGTCATGTGCTAAGTGGGGTATTAGCATAGTGGTTAGGCATGGAGGCTTCTGAGTTAGACCCAAGTTCGAATCTCAGCTATGTCATTTACCAATGAGCAAATAACTGTCCAAGCCTCAGTTTCCCCTGTGTAGAATGGGGATGAACACTATCTATCTGACCCATTATCAAAGTGAAAGTCAGTGAGGCACCCTGTATGTTTCACAGGGCTGCCAAAACAAAATTACATACTTGGTGGCTTAGAAGAGCAGAAACTTACTTAGTCACACTTCTGGAGGCTAGAAGTGTGAAATCAAGGTATCGGCAGAGCTATGCTCTCCCTGAAGGCTCTAGGGGGAAATCTTTCTTCACCTCCTTCTAGTTTCTGGGTGTTGCGGGCAATCCGTAGCATTCCTTGGCTTGTAGATGTATTGCTCCAATCTCTGTCTTCACATAGTCGTCTCCCCTGTGTGTCTGTCCAAATTTTCCTTTTCTTATAAGGACACCAGTCATATTAGATTTAGGACCCACCATAATTCAGTATGAATTCATCTGGATTGCATCTGCAAAGACCGTATTTCTTTCTTTTTTTTTTTTTAAAGATTTTATTTATTTATTCATGAGAGACAGAGAGAGAGAGAGAGAGGCAGAGGGAGAAGCAGGCTCCCAAGGAGCAGGGAGCCCGATGCGGGACTCGATCCCAGGACCCTGAGATCATGACCTGAGCCGAAGGCAGACGCTTAACCATCTGAGCCACCCAGGCGCCCTGCAAAGACCGTATTTCTCACGAAGGTCACATTCACGGCCTCCAGGTGGAAATGAATTTGGGGGGAGTGGGTACTATTCAATGCGGTATACACACCAACTAAACATTCAATAGGAGCTGTCAAAATTATGATTATTATTAAATTCAAACAGCAAACCTTGGAGATCAGTGTCATCCTCATTAAACAGTAAACTGAAATTTAAGAATTAGGTAATTGACCCAAGCAAATTGCAGGATTAAGATTCAAATGTGCCTTGTCTGAATTTAAAATCAGGGAGGGATGGGATGTCTGGGTGGCTCAGTCGGTGAAGGGTCCGACTCTTGGTTTGGGCTCAGGTCATAATCTCCAGGTTCTGAGATCTGGCCCCTCATCGTGCTCTGCGATCAGCGGGGAGTCTACTTGAGATTCACTCTCCCCCTCTCTCTCTGCCCCTCCCCCTGCTCATGTTGTCACTCTCTTTCTCTCAAATAAATAAATCTTAAAAAAAAAAAAAAAAGATAAAATCAGGGCAGGTCACCAGCCACAGTCATGTAGGAGCCGAGAGGAATTCATCCTCACACACAAAAATTTCTCCAGGCAACACTGGCAGGGTTGATCAAGCATAGAGAAGGGGGTGAAGGTCGGCAGGACATTGATGTCCTGAACCCCTAGAGGACAAGGCTGGAAGACCCTTGTAGACTTTATGAACCAAACCCCCTGTTTGCTGAGAGGAGTAGACAAAGACTGAGAAATGGGAGACTTCCCTAAGGCCTTGTGTCTGGTTGGTGCAAGACTTAGACTTCTGTCTACCATCTTTGGCCTCAGTTTCCTGATGGTGGCCCAGGTAAGACCAGAGAACATGGGCCCCCTGGATGTCAAGGAGGCCCTGATCCTGGGGACAGCTACTTACCCACATGGGAGCCAGATCTCAGCTTCTCCATCCCCCACCCCAGACAAAAAGCATGGTTATACCTGCTGAACTAGTATAAAAGTTGAGAAACAGTGAAATGCTCAAGGCTTCCCTGGAGAAGGTAATGCAGCAGTGTTGATTCAACCTGCAAAAAGGTACAAAAGCATGAAGGTCAGATGCAGAGCTGAATATTCCTGGGACCCTGTCAGCAAACAGCAGGGCGGGCTCTGTCTTCAACGTGAAATAAGATTAGCAATCATTAGCGGTTACCCTAGACAGTTTTTTGAAATATCTGAGATTAGAAAACACATAGGAACATGTAAGTCTTGCACCTGGATCCTGTCAATGCCCCAGCTCCTTCACCCTGTCTTCTGTCTCTGCACACAGCCAAGAGGACCTTTCCAATTCACAGCCTGGTCATGCCCCTACCCTCATTGCCTGCTTCCCCATGACCTTCAGCATAAATGTTAAGCTGTTTATCCCAGCTCGAAGGCCCCTGAGGATCTGCCATCCCTGTCCCTACAGTTTTACCCGGAAAAAAATATTTACACATGCACACACACACGTTCTCCCTAGCTCACTCCGCTTTAGCCTCCCAGCACTGATTATATTCCCCCCCCTGCCACGAGCTGCAGTGCCTTTGCGCGTGCCTGTCACACCCCTTCTGCTCTGCCTCCACCCGCTTTCTTAACCTCTAATTGCCCTTAATGTGTTTGTACATCCAGTTCTAGGAAGCTGTACTAAAGAGGTACTTGCACAGGTGCACAAAGATATATGCATAAGGATGCTCATTGCTTTATTTCTTGCATTAGAGAAAAATAGGGCAAGTCCATCAGCAGGTGAAGTAGCATGTATGAATGTATTCTGTATTCACTGTGGGGTGGTAGAATAATGCCAGGCGAGTATAGATGCATGGGGAAAGACCTTCAGGGCACACTGTATTAGGGAGTCCTAGGGGGTCCTCTATAGCAGGTGATGTCTTCTGTAATCTTGAGTAGAGTGTTCAGTGGGGAGCTGGAAGGCATAGGAGAGGAGTTTAACATCAGCAGACCCGGGTGTCCCTAGCACACCCCTCCCTGTGTATTCAGATCACAGAGCATGTATCCTTGTGCTGTTCTTTTACAACCCACATTTTGCTGTGTCACTTTGGTTGACTAAATTAGAAAGCATCTGTTAACTTTTACAAAGTGATCCTGGACTCAGATGAAGCTGGTGCTATGTTCCTGGGTGTACTCGATCAAAGGTCAGAAACCTGCATTCAGATTCTCAATCTGTTGCTGGCTAGGTCTCTCACTTGGGGCAAGTATCTTTGCCTGTCTGCCTGAGTTTTCCCTCCCTCATCTGTGCATCGTGGGAGGTAGAAGAAATCCTCTCTGTGGTCTCTTCATCACAAGAATGCATTGGTGCATTCCTCTTGAGGTTCGTGTCATTTTCATAGGAGTCACTTATCTCTTAACATATTTTGTATTGTTAACAAATAATTTGTGAGTGTCAGTCCTAGGTGCTGTTCTGAACCTTTTAAATGTACTGACCATTCTAAAAGCATCTAGCAGCAGTGTGGAATAAATACTACTAACTCTGTGTTGTAGAAGAAGGAGAATGAGGCCTGGAGATTATGTGTCTTGCCCAGCAAAGTCGCGCAGCTAGAAAGCCATAGGACCGAGCACGATTCCAAGCAGTTTGACTTCAGAACCCGTGATCTAAACCATTCCCTGAAGCTGCCCTTAAAACCCTTCCTTTATATTGCTGCATGATTTAAGGATTCATACGAAATAATATTTTAAGAAAATGAATCTGAAGAGCTGATATGAAAAATGGAGGTGGAGGAGTCCGGGTGGCTCAGTTTGTTAAGCGTCTGCCTTCAGCTCAAGTCATGATCCCAGGGTCCTGGGATCGAGACCCCCATAGGGCTCCCTGCTCTCCGTGGGGAGTTTGCTTCTCCCTCTGCCCTTCCCCCTGCTCATGCTTGTGCTTGCTCTCTCTCTCTCTCTCTCTCTGAAATAAGTGAAATCTAAAAAAAAGAAAAGAAAAATGGAGGTGAATATGGAAAAGATCCCAAATGCAAAATTGCAAGCCAAAGCTCTCCTTAAATATTGAAGCACTTTCTACTGCATCACTTCTATATCCCATGCTGTGACTATATCTACACACTTCTGAATAACAGCTGCAAGAGAAGAAGTCACCACGACTGCATTCTTGTGCATCTTTTTCCTCTGAAAATAGCATCATCAGTTGTACACACATCGATGCTTTCTATTTTAATTCCACAGATGAAAGAGCTCGGTGTCATCTTCTACAACTGCAGCTGCCTGGTCCTGGACTTACAAAGGATATTCGCTCTGTACAGCTCATTAAAATTCAAGAACAGAGTGCCTCAGACCTGGTCCAAGAGGCTCTATGGCGTCTACGACAACGAGAAGAAATTGCAGCTTCAGTTGAACGAAACCAAATCTCAAGCCTTTGTGTCGGTGAGTCCTTGCCCTCTTGCTCCTCCTTCCTCCCAAGTTGGAATGTTTGAGTGTGATCTGGTGCTGGGCAAACCTGAATTCTAAAGATCAGTTCTGTCCCATCCCTTGAAGAGGTAAGATACACCCACTCTTAGGCCTAACCATATGCTGTCCCCAGTGATGAGAACAGTAAAGAACGTTAATACTCATTCCAACTCCTGATACTTTGCGTTACCTGTTTTGATCGCCACTGTCCTCTGTTAAGGTAGACCCAGCTTTGTGAGCCTGTCACACACGAAGGTATTGAGGCTTATCTTCCAGCACAAAGACCCTCAGATGGCAGGTGACAAGAGAGGCACCAACTCCCAGGTCTCCTGACACCGGGTCCTATTTTCGATGCCCTACCTCAGTGATTCTCAGGCTTGTTTTTTAGCAATGGAATCCTCCTCTGATGAAACAAATCTGAGGGAACCCCAGTGTGCAAAAACAGATAAAAGGAAAGCTGTTTGTACCTCACTGAGGCTGAGGGCAGGGCACAGCCTCAGGCCCCTGTCTACACTGAAAACCACCGCCCATTGCCCCGCACCCACCCCCTGCTGCCCACACACCACAGCTGTCCCACAATGTCACTGGGAATGGGCAATGTGAATATCTGTGCCTATGGCCCTGGTCCCCACACTTTAATTAAGAATTGATTGGGGAGCCTGTTTAAAATGCAGATTTAGAGCCCCCACCCTTACCCAGGATCTGAGCCACAGGATTGGGGTGAGACCTTAGAATTTTGTTTTGAAGCAGGCTTCTAAATTGATCCTAGTGCTCAGATAAACTTCTTAAAACCGTGCTCCCAATTCAACATGCTGATCCTCCACTGACAACAGTGCTTTTATACCAGCAACTTTTTATTTTTTTATGTTATGTTAATCACCATACATTACATCATTAGTTTTTGATGTAGTGTTCCATGATTCATTGTTTGTGCATAACACTCAGTGCTCCATGTAGAGCGTGCCCTCTTTAATACCCATCACCAGGCTAACCCATCCCCCCACCCCCCTCCCCTCTAGAACCCTCGGTTTGTTCCTCAGAGTCCATCGTCTCTCAGGGTTTGTCTCTGGCAACTTTAATATTGCCGAAGAGCTTCTCATTGAAAAGGGAGTTCTCTCCTTTTTGCTAATTAAAATGAAAACACAATCTGAAAATTTAGACATGTAGCAATTGAGACAAAAGAGGATGTTTTTTGTCTTAAGGTGTTTGTCTTAACAAATTCATATAAATGTGAATAGCAGAACACAGACTGAAAGATTTTCTTCAAACCAAGCTAAAAAAAAAATTTTTTTTTTCTTTAATACTCAGGAGGCCCACAGTGCAACAGCAAGGAGCATATTGTATAGGGCATTTTCCGAGCAGAATTATTTCATGTGTTCAATTTCATTTCCTCTCAAGACAACCCTATAAGACAAGAAGGCCAGCTGTTATTCTGAATTTGTAGTGAGTAGCCATAAGAAATTTGCCAAACAGGGTCCTAGAGGGGAGGGGGTGGGAGGATGGGTTAGCCTGGTGATGGGTATTAAAGAGGGCACGTTCTGCATGGAGCACTGGGTGTTATGCACAAACAATGAATCATGGAACACTACATCAAAAACTAATGATGTAATGTATGGTGATTAACATAACATAATAAAATTAAAAAAAGAAAGAAATTTGCCAAGGAACCCTTAACCCAGAAGGTAACAGGGTGACATGACACCCCAAGGACACTTACTCAACCAGCTCCAGTAAAACAGATTGAAAGCAGCAAAGAATTGATGAATTATCAGCAGATTTCAGACAATTGCCGGATTTTGAATTTATGGTTTGAATCTTAGAGATAGATGAATGTGGGTTTTGCGTACATTTACATTCTGACGCTTAAAAAGCTAGGGGAGTCCCTTTTGTTGATCCCAAAATTAGCATACCTGCCCCAGAGAGAAGGCCAGTCCTTTAATAAAACCTACTAAAACGCAGGTCTTTGTATTCTAGGGCAGATTTACAAATTTCTTTTTATTAAATGATTTGCCACAAAATAAGTAGAGTTTTGAAACATGCCTCCAGGTATAGTCTTTTAAACTATATAATGTCTATGCTTTCTATTTTTGTTTATTATATTATTTTAACCTATTATTTTATTTTCTACTTCCTATTAATATCAAGCCTACCTTTGAATTTCAATTCAACAGATATTAATTGAATACCATTTTTGCAGAGGTATAAAATCTTGCAGGTATAGGGGCGCCTGGTGGCTCAGTCGTTAAGCGCCTGCCTTCGGCTCAGGTCATGATCCCAGGGTCCTGGGCCCGAGCCCGGCATCGGGCTCCCTGCTTGGTGGGAGGCCTGCTGTCCCTCTCCCACTCCCCCTGCTTGTGTTCCCTCTCTCACTGTGTCTCTCTCTGTCAAATAAATAAATAAAATCTTTAAAAAAAAAAAATCTTGCAGGTATAAAATAAAGTCAGACCCCAGCCATTGGAATTGGTATTGTTTGCCCAAAGCTCCTTGATCTCACCCCTGTTGTAGCATTTATCACATTCTCATAACTGTTTGTTTATTGATCATCTCTCCCACTATTTAAAAGGTTCCAAAGGCCATATACTGGACCATCTTCATCACTGGCATTCCCAGCATGTTACTCACAGCTCCCTAAGAGCAGCAATAAATGTGGGATTGGTTTTATTAGTAGTAATTTTAATAAGAAGTTCTAGGATGCATATAATTTTCTGAGTAATACATGCCAAACAAATGTCAAGACAGATTTATTTAAATTCAAAATATTTGTTGTAAAATATCTTAAAATAGTATATTTTTATAATTTCACAGTCCCAAGACTAAATGAACACATGCACGCAAAAATATTATTGAAGACCTTAAGAATTATCATTCCCCAAATTAGATTTTGGATGATTAATAACTTAGCATGGTTAAATATAAATTTTAAGTTATGATATAAACATGGATTATTTCTAGTTTTCTCATGGAACACAAAGAGACGCTTGGTGAGATTTAACTCTGATCTCTAATCACTTGGGGCCACATAGTTTCGATTTTCTTAACATTTCCCATTGAAATCAGAAACAGGAACCATAGTTGGCTGAATTTTTGTCTTATCTTGTAGATTTCTTTTTAGAGCCCTGGAGATTATAAATTTGCTTTCCAAGATCAAGGCTAGTTGGTTCAAGGTCTGTTCTTTTTTTTTTTTTTTTTTAAGATTTTATTTATTTATTTGAGAGAGCTAGCAAGAGAGGGCATGAGCAGGGGGCAGAGGGAGAAGCAGGCTCCCCACAGAGCAGGGAGCCCTACTTGGGACTCGATCCCAGGACCCTGGGATCATGACCTGAGCCAAAGGCAGACGCTTAACCGATGGAGCTACCCGGGTGTCCCTCGAGGTCTGTTCTTACTGATCTGGCTGCTAGACAGGTCTCATTTCTCGTTACTGTGTCTTCCACCCATCCAGTCATGTGTATTAAGATGCATTTAGTGAGTGAGCACAGACATTAAGTAGATCGTGGTGCTGTTATAGTCCCCTATGCATTGTTAATTACTTTTTAATAGCTTTATTGAGAGAGACTTTACATTCCATGAAATTCATCTTTCCAAAGTATATGATTCAGTGGGTTTTGGTGTAGTCAGAGCTGTGCAACTATCTCCACCATCTAATTTAGAATATTGTCATCACCACAAAGAAAACACCACACCCATTAAGGGTCACTCTCCATATTCCCCTTCCCCCAGCCTCTGGCAACCACTCATCTCCTGTCTGTCTCTTAGGGTTCTCCTTTCTCTAGCATTTCATATAAATGGAATAAGACAGTATGTAGTCTTTTTTTTTAAGATTTACTTATTTGTTTGAGAGAGAGCACAGGAGGGAGCAGAGGGAGAGGGAGAGAGAGAATCTCAAGCAGACTCCCCACTGAGCAAGGAGCCTGATATGGGGCTCGATCTCATGACCCTGAGATTATGACCTGAGCCACAATCAAGAGTCAGACGCTTAACCAACTGAGCCATCCAGGCGCCCCAACAGTATGTCATCTTTTGTAACTGACTCCTTTCACTTAGTATAATGTTCTCAAAGTCCATTAATGTTACAGCATGAATCAGTACACCTTTTTTATGGTCAAATGATATTCCACTGTATGGATACATCACATTTGGTTTATTCGTCCATCAGTTGATGAACATTTGGGTGTTTCTATCTTCTGGCTCCTGTGAAGAATGCTGCTTTGAACCTTCACATACAAGGTTTTATTTGAATACCTGTTTCCAGTGCTTTGGGGTGTATACTCAGGAGCGGCACTGTTGGGTGATATGATAACTCTGTGCTGAACATTTTGAGAGACTGACAAACCGTTCTCCAAACTGGCTGTCTCATTTTACAGTTCCAACAGCAATAAATGACAGCTCCAGTTTCTCCACATCTTTGCCAAAATGCTTTTTATTTTCTATTTTATTTCACCCCTCCTGGTGGGTGTGTGGGTGTGAAATGGTATGTCACTGTGGTTTTTATTTGTATATTTTAATGTGTTCATTGGCCATTTGTTTATCTTTTTTGAGACATGTCTATTCAATTCTTTGCCCACTTTTCAAATTAGTTTACTTGGATTTTTATTATTGCGTTGTAAGAGTTCTTATACATTCCGCATATGTCCTTTATCAGATACACAATTTGCAAATATTTTCTCCCATTCCGTGGGCCAGCTTTTTTGTTTAATATATTTTAACTTATATATTCTTGGGATGGAGTATGGCCTTTTTACAAACCAGGGAACTGTTGTGAAATAAATCAGAAGCCTGCTAAGGCAAGTATTTAATGAATATACAAAACAAGTTTTGTGCATGTATAAGGCACTGATTGATCTAAGAGAGAAACATCCTGCCTAGAAGCAGGTGCAGGAGATCACTTGAATGGTGAAAGGTCATCACAGAGCCGAAACAAAGAGAAGGATCTGTTTTCCTGCTCTTTCCCATAATAAAGGAGTGCACAGTGCAAGGCTCAGAAAATTAATTCAGGACCAATAAGAGGGAAACTGAACAGCCTTCTCTCTAATTAAACTATTAGAACTAGTTAATTTCCTCTGCCTGATCAGTAGATCATTCTTTGTGGTGGTGTTCATTCACTTACACTTTAAGCAAACGTTTTGAAGCCATTAGTATATCCAGATACTATTTTCAAAGGTAGCAGACTCTAAACACACCATCAAGCACCACCATGCCCCCTGGGCTGGGGAACTGACACAACTAGTCCTGCATTTCCCTAATAAACACACGGAGCACCTGCCATGCTCTAGGCATCAGGTTTGGCAATGGGACCATGGGAAACAATGCGACCTGGCAAGTGCAAATAAAGAGCCATTCCCATGTGGATGGAAATACCTATCGTGAACCAAGTCCACTGGGGGTGGAGGTTGGGGGAGTCACTCAGACCTGTGACGCTGATTAATTTAAGAAGCACTCTCATGCTCGGTCCACAGATACTGATCTATAACACGTGCTAGGAGTGGCACGGAGATAACGAGGTGCTGGAAATACGAAACCCAATGGTGCACAAGCTAGTGCCGAAGCACCCAGACAGATGAAGGCAACAGCATGCAACGGGTGCTCGAATGAAGCACTGTGAAGCAAGCATCTTATTTGGGCCACTGACATACGCCGAGTGGCTAGACTAGAGCTGGAGCATGGCAGGCACTTAGTAGTATTTGCTGAATGAATGAGGGCAAGCACAGAAGAGAGGCTCTGAGCCCAGACAATGTGAGAGGTGTGTTCTGTTATTAACTCCCCCACCCCCTTAGGGTATGAGGCTCAACAAGCAGAAGGGACACAGCTGAGACGCTGTAGGCTCTAAATGCCGGAGCCTGGCCTGAATCACCAAAAGGCGCAATGTCCAGACTTGCAGGATAAGTGCAAACGTGAAGAGACCGATGACTCTATGCCTCAATTTGTTCCTCCCTGAAACCAAAACTAGTTTTGGGAACACACAAGGAAGTCTAGGAAACTCCTGAAACAAAAACATGGGCATTGGGCCATGTGTCAGGGCTGGCTGAGGGTCTCGTCTGGAGCTAATATTTAAAGCAGACCCAACAGGCTGAGCTGAAATTAAGTAATTTCAATACTGAATGTATTGATGGAAATAGAAAAATGAGTGAATACCACCCCTAAATTCCAGCAAGTGCAAGTAATTATCCGTTGAATAGGCTAAATAATATCACAGACAAATCATATTATGGGAGGAGACAGAGAAGGGAGAAGGAGCCTCTGGGTGGGGAAATAAAGAGGTTTCACAGAGGGGCTTGTCCTTGAGCTGGAACTTAGAAAAAGCATAGGACTCTGATGGGCAAGAATAGGGAAACATGGGCCAGAAATGCTGGCAGGAGCAAACGCACAGGGCAGACAGATGGGAGCAAGGCCATTACTTCTTCCCTTTGGGGCATGGAGGGTGTGGTGGCCAGTCCAGGAGGGAGGCAGGAGGCCATAGATACATCCCTCCAACGAGTTCAGGCTGGATTCCCAGACACCAGGAATGCTGGGCCTGACGTGTGTGTGTGTGTGTGTGTGTGTGTGTGTGTGTTTACATCATGGTGATAAGGAAATGATGTGTAAAAGCCCCAGCAAGAGCACTAGGGTCTGGATGGGAGGAACGGCAGTCAGGAGGGAGAGGGAGACCCAGGAGATGCTGTAGAAGCAGGAGCACCTGTCCCGGGGACAGGTGGAGTATCCGAGATGCATGTGCTGGGGAAAGGGTGGAGGACAGCACTGGGTTTCGTCTGTTTTATTTTTTATTACTTTTGTGTGGGTTTTTTTGTTGCTGTTCGTTTGTTTCTGTTCTTTTATGTTTTTCATGAGGGTTTTTGTTTTGTTTTGTTTTTGTTTTTTTTTTGGTATTAGTCTTTTTAAAAGACTTGGAAGCTCATCATTCCAAAAGAAAAACAATTTAATTGATCAAAAACTCAATCTGATAGTCAGCTGCTGAGGTGACTTTCTGAGCAGGGATGCCTGGAGGGTGTGTGGCCTTGACCAGGCTCCTTTCCTGCCCCCCACGCTCCACAGCCATCTCGGTTGGGCATCCAGAACAACCGCTTAGTCATCCCTCTGTCTAAGCGGGGATGGGGCTGCCCAGCAGCGCAGTGCAGGGAGTTCCTGAGTTTTGGATGAGGGACCCAATACTGCCATGGCAGGCAGTTCCAGAAACCATGTATTCAGACTTTCGGTATAAAGCACCCCTCGGATTATGGGTCCCACTCCACTTGCCACTGCGTTATGCCTGTCAGGGGAAGACAATATTTCCATGGCCATATCACCTTTCTAATGAAATGATTTTTTGAGTAAATTGGTTGCAGTAGGTGTATTGTATATATTATACAGTAATGCCTGAGAAAATTAGCAGCTCTGCATGACAGGGCATTCGCCAGAGTCCCCTAAGTTTAGAGCTACAGTGCTCCTCCCAAAATGAGAGGTGTGGGTATTGAAAGCAAGAATTCCCTCCCAAAGCAGACGTAAGGGGACAGCCTGGAGACCCATCCTGCCACACCTTCATCTGAACATGCCTCAACTATGCTAGGATCGCATACATAACTTGTCTGATCTCATCAAGAACTGGAAAGGTGATGTGCAAAACTTGACTTACAAGCCAAGATCCATTAAAACACCTAAAAAAAAAAAAAAAGGCAACAAAAAAGAGAAAGCCCCAGCTGACAAAAATTAATCATCTGAAAGTTTGGTTTTTGTGTCTTCACAGAATTCTCCCAAACTCTTTTGCCCTAAAAACAGAAGCTTCGATATCGACGCTATCTATAGTGTGATAGATGATGCCAAACAATACGTATACATCGCTGTCACGGACTACCTGCCTATCTCCAGCACAAGCACCAAAAGGTCAGTGAGTGCATAACGGCGTCTTAGAACCCAGCCTCCGGGGCCAGGCACAAACAGGGGACCACGAGAAACCAGCCTGGGCCCTGACATGCTCTCAGTTCACCTCAGGTCTCTCACCATTCAGAACTCCTCGGTGTGCATTTGCACCTTACCCGTGATGCATGGGTCCGTTTGAAGGGCTTAGGGTCTCACCCTGCAAAAGTTCCTCAGTGCTTCCCCTTAATAGGCATGGGAACGACTTTAGAATGAAGATCAGGGTGCTGTCAACTTGTAAGTTATTTGAAAATTAAAATAAATAATAAAAATTATTCGGAAAAAAATATGTCTTGAAAATTATTAGTTCGCAGGTGTCCCTGAAGGACATACTGACCCTGAGCAAGCCTGGCAAGATTTTCCATGGGGGAGATGTCATTTTGTTGTATTCATGCCAGTCTTCATTAAATGCTAAACTTTCATATGCTTTCAACCTCAAGGAGAAGGAAACTCAGAATGTGTATGTTCTCAGTCAATCCATTCCTCTGTATGAGGAAGAAAGCATTTTAAAAATGAAGGGATTTTTCAATAATTTATCACTGTTTGGGGCAAAAAAAAAACTTGAAATAAATGTAGGGGCAGAATGTATGCCCCTCAATAGTTACATGCATAAATGCGTGGCTATGCCCCAAATGTTTCCTGCTTTTGCTTTCTTGCTGGGAATGCAGAGATTTGGGTGCTTGTGTTTTGAATAACTCATTTAATCCAGGAAAAGTTTTCAAAGTACACTTTCTGGGAGTACAACTTGAGACCTTTTTAATTTGGAAAATTACAATTTCAAAATAACCATTTACTGAGGTTAAATGATTAAGCGTGCTCTCTCTTGCTTGAATATTTTTCATGTTGCCAACCCCACATATGCATAATGTGCAGCTTCCTTATGCAAATGGCTGTAGGATTGTGAAAGCATGTTTCTCCCAGAAAGTGGTCTCCCATAATGACAGTCAAAAAGCATTTTAAGCTGCAGGAGACACTATTAAAACACTTTTACTTTAAAATATGGTACATCCCTTGAATATTCATAGGTTTTTACCCATATACTTTTACATGTTTTCTATCTCTCCTTTTTTTTTTTATTCTTATGTTAATTCCCATACATTACATCATTAGTTCTACATGAAGTGTTCCATGATTCATTGTTCGTGCACAACACCCAGTGCTCCATGCAGAACGTGCCCTCCTCCATA